GAGGTTTTATTTGCGGATCATGTAATTCCAGCAAGTGTTGCTGACTCTGTTATGGGCGATCTTGCCCTGAATGTTTCGTAATAAAGCTATTTGCTTACCTTAAAAAAAGCTATGGAAATCAAAGCAAATAGAGACCAAAGCTCTGATACCACTTGTAGGATCGAAAGTATGTCTAGAGGGGGGGTGATTAGACTACTTGACAAAATAAAAATATAGCCTTTTCCCAATTTTAAGTCTTGGCAGATTTAAACAACTTAGCACAAGTCAAGTAATTAACCTACACATGCAATTCTAAGAGTATAGCAGCAGAATGTAAAACAATTGCATATGAAGGTAAAGGGAGGAGTTTGAGGGAGCAAACGCAATGTAGACACGGAGATTTTTGGCGTGGTTCCGATAGGTGGTGCTATCGTACATCCACGTTGATGGAGACTTCAACCCATGAAGGGTAACGGTTGCACGAGTCCATGAAGGGCTCCACCCATGAAGGTTCCACGAAGAAGCAACCTTGTCTATCCCACCATGGCCATCGCCCACGAAGGACTTGCCTCACTAGGGTAGATCTTCACGAAGTAGGCGATCTCCTTGCCCGTACAAACTCCTTGGTTCAACTCCACAATCTTGACGGACGCTCCCAAGTGACACCTAGCCAATCTAGGAGACACCACTCTCCGAAAGGTAATAGATGGTGTGTTGATGATGAACTCCTTGCTCCCCAACACTTAGCTCTCTCTCATAGGATTGGATTTGGTGGAAAGAGGGTTTGAGTGGAAAGCAACTTGGGGAAGGCTAGAGATCAAGATTTATGTGGTTGGAATGGAATATCTTGACCTCAACACAAGTGTAGGTGGTTCTCTCTCGGAAAATGTATGTTGGAAGTGTAGGCATGTTCTGATGGCTCTCTCCACAAATGAAGAGTGGGTGGAGGGGTATATATAGCTTCCACACAAAATCTAACCGTTACACACAAATCACCGAACTCGGTGGGACCAAATCATGAAACTCGGTCAAACCGATTTAGTTCAAAATGTGAATGTTAGGATTTTCGATGGGACCGACATGTCAACTCGGTGGAACCGATTCCATTAGGGTTAGGGCATAACGTAATCTCGGTGAGACCGATTACACAAACTCGGTGGGACTGATTTTGGTAATAGGCAAATAGAGAGTTGGTCAGGCAAACTCGGTGGGACCGATTCGCTCATCTCGGTTAGACCGAAACGTTACAAAGGGGAAATAGAGAGTTTGCATTGCAATCTCGGTGGGACCGATCGCTCATCTCGGTTGGACCGAAACGTTACGAAGGGAAACAGAGAGGTTGCAATCCCATCTTGGTGAGACCGAGATCCCTATCGGTGAGACCGAAATGACTAGGGTTTGTGGCAGTGGCTATGTCAAGTGAACTCGGTGGCGCCGGGTAGGAAATTTCGGTGGGGCCGAGTTTGACTTTTGGTTTGGGACATATGTGGATATGAGAAAGCAGTTGAGGGTTTTGGAGCATATCACTAAGCATTTTGAGCAAGTAACTCATTAAGCAACACCTCATCCATTTTTAATAGTATTGGCTTTTCCTATGGACTCAATGTGATCTTGGATCACTAAAAGTAAAATGTAGAGTCTTGAGCTTGAGCCAACATGTGTTCTTAGTATTTTGAGGGGTCCACTTTCTAATCCATGGCATGCCAAACATTGAGCTTTCCTGAAATATTTATCTTGAAATAGCATTAGCTCAATGGGTTATATGTTGTTAGGAATTACCAAAACCACCCAGGGATAGTTGCACTTTCAATAAGACCATTTTTGACACTATGGAAGTGTCAAAATGGTCTTATATTTGGGACGGAGGGAGTACGTATGATAAACTTTGAGGTTCCAATAGCCCATCATGCAATAGTTTCTAAACTTAGGGTTTGGTAATTTTAGTCACTCTAACCACCATCCATGAACAAGCTAATGACACAATGCTATCCTGTAGACCCACGAAGGTGAAGTGATATCCAGTTGAGTTTGCACATCACCACTAGAGAATTACATCACACCATAATATCAAAACATTGAACTAGGTTCAACTTCACATGTCCTTAAGAACATAACAAGCTACTCACAACACATCATATGGATCGATTAATTGATACGAATATATAAATAAAAATCTTAACAAATTAATCTTTCACCAAAAAAATAATAAGCATTAACTACACAGAGTAACCAACACCATAAACTATACCAGCAAAGGATCGGTGGTAAAAGTTCATAGATCAGAATGTTAGGGTTGAGGGAGCTGATGGAGATGACCGCATGATATGTATCCAATGTATCTATAATTTTTGAACTAACTCATGTTACATTTACATAATTTCTTAATGGTTTTGGTGCACTTTTATATGTTTTTTCTAGACTAACCTATTAATCTAGTGTCAGTTCCTGTTTTCTGCATGCCTTTTGTTAAAAAAAATCAATATCTAGGAAGGTCAGAACATCCCGACGATTTAATATGATTTTATGGAATATATGTGATTTTTGGGTGAAGGAACCAACGCAAAATAGTGCCTGGGGGCGCACATGGATCGGTCACGCGCCCCCCCCCTGGTCGTGCCATGGGCCCGTGTGGCTGCCCTGTAAGTCGGTTCGAGTTGTTCTTTCGCTGCAAGAAAGCTAATTTTCGAAGGACACCTCAAAATTTTAGTCTGATCAAAGTTATGAATCTCCAGCTATATAAGAAATGGTGAAAGGCCAAAAAACAACACCAGAAAACAGAGATATAGAGAGAGGAGGTCCAATCTCAGAGGGGCTCCTGCCCCTTCCGGAGCCATGATAGCCAAGGACCATAAGGGAGAACCTCTCCCCATCTAGGAGGAGGCCATGGGGGAGGAAGCCGGAGGGGGATCCTATCTCCCCCCTCTCTCCCGGTGGCATTGGAGTGCCGTCGGGGGAACCATCATCGCGGCTATCGTCTTCATCAACGTCGCCGTCTTCGCCGACATCTTCATCACCTTTCGCACCTCTTTCCAAGGGTTCACTCTCCGGCAACCTACTATAATCCCCTACTTGAACATGGTGTTTGATGTTATGAATTATATTTTGTGTTGTCTTTATTGTGTTTGAGTGTATTATTTTGTCCTACGGGTTAATTAGTGAATTGTTATGGTTTGTTTAAAGTGTTTGTGGTTATGTTATTGTCCTTTGGTGCCCATCATATGAGCGCGCATGTGGATCACATCTTAGGGCTAGTAGTATTTTGACAGGACTATGCATCTAGGGGTAGGAGTAATAGAAACCACCCCTAACCATAGAAATTGATACATACATGATTGAAGGGGGGACAATATATCTTAATGTGATGGTTGGGTTTTACCTTAATTAACTTGTTAGTAGTTGTGGATGCTTGTTAATAGTTCCAATCATAAGTGCATAGAATTTCAAGTAAGGGATGACATGCTAGCAGAGGCCTCTCCCACATGGAAACTTGCAATCGGTTTAGTAACTTAGCTAATTGCCTAGGGACAGTTCCGCACACCATACCACCATTATTCCACACTCGCTATTTGTATTGTATTGTAATATATTGTATCTTTGCTTAGGAAGCACTTATCGTTTATGATTACGTTCTTTGTTATCTTGCAAAACTACCTCTTTATACTTGCAAGATACTTTTATTTATTGTTTCTAGATAAAGAAACGCTCTGTGTACGTAGGGTTGTATCAGTGGCAGATGGAGTTTGAGAGAATATTGATCTTACCTTTAGCTTCCTGTGGGTTTGACACTCCATACTTACCACTTCCATCATTGTGTTTCCTTGCACTTGGGGATTATAACGGTGCTGATGAGGATGTTGATGGAGATGATAATTCTAGTGATGATAGGATCTGGAATGATAGTCAATGTGAGAGAATAGAGAGAGAGAGGTTTAGTTGCATGTAGAATCACTCCCTTGTCTCCCTAATCAGAACAAATCCTTATTACTATTATTGTTGTTATTATTATTATTAGCATATATTGATTATTGATATCTTCTAAGCTATAAGTTCATTTTTTAAACTGTTCTATATTTTTTGAAATCCTAACGAAAAGACCTTCTAAACAAGACCATCATTGGATATATTTTGAACGTGTTTGAATTTTTAGACCTGCAAAAAACTTGTTTGAATTTCACTATTGACAAATTGATTCAAATACATTTCACAAGTTTCACGAATTCACAAGTGATAACAACTATTTCAGAAAATGATTTAGTCATTTCAGAAATGATTTTAATTGTTTCAAAAATAAAAATGATTGAGATATACTCCCATCTGTTCCATAATGTAAAGCCTATATATTTTTCTATAAGTCAAACTTTACTAGGTTTGGCCAAGTTTAGAGATAGAACCATCTATATCTATAAAGCCACACATATATAATGTGAAAATACATGTGAGAGTGTACCCAATGGTGTGAATTTTGTGTTGTAGATGTAATTAATTTTCTCTAGAAACTTGATCAAAATTTGTAAAGCTTGTTTTTTAGAAGAAAAAAAAATCTATAAGCACTGCATTATGAAAATGGAGGAAGTATGTTGTAAATATATACCAACAAGTGAACTAAAATATATACCAACACTTTTATATTACAGGACAGAGGGAGGGTGAAATAGGCACTGAAATGTTTGAGATATATGCTTCGGAAATATTTCAAATAACTGAATTATGTAATATGCGAAATACTAAAAGAAAGTGAAACTGATACAAATACTGAAATAAGTGAAATGTGCAACATAACTTTTTTTTTGTGCGGAGAAGATGAATGAGATCCATTCCAACTCACAGTCACGGAAAGCGGCCTAGGCCACTTATTTTAGTGGGAAACCAACGCCGTTAGAAAACCACCATTGGCCCCTTCTGCGCAGACCACCACGCGCACAAGCACAAGTCGACGACCAAAAACAGAGGAAGAAGAAGAAAAGGCAAAGGCCTCCAAGATCTCGGCTCCGAGAGAGATCTGAGAGAGAGGTGCTTCGGAGATGCACGACTTCTGCTTCACGATCCCCTACGGGTTCGCGGTCCTGGCCGGCGGCCTGCTGGGCTACCTCCGCCGCGGCAGCACCGCCTCACTGGCGGGCGGCGCCGGCGTGGGCGGGCTTCTCCTCCTGGCAGGGTTCGTCAGCCTCAAGGCCTTCGAGAAGCGCCGCAACTCCTACCTCGCCCTCGCACTCGAGACCCGTACGCTCCGTCTCCCTTCCTCCAATTTCAACTGCGCATTTAATTGTATGCTTTCTAATTCATCACAAAAGAAAAGAAACGGATAGCTGCACGGTGTCGAGACTACTCCGCCATTTTCTTGTTTCTGTATCTTCGGATCATACTGCCATTCAGAAGAAGGAAAAATGTATTTGTCATTGATGGTGGATGATACGTCACTGGTTAAACTAGTGCGAAGTGGGCCGGGCGTCATGGGAGTTATGCGATCTCCATGTGAATGGAATTACTAATAGAGACGGTGGTTTCCAACATTTTGATTTGGTTAGGATCAGGACTTTGTGGTTATTGCGCATGTAGGAAATTGGACTAGAGATTTCTGTCCTGATGTCAGTGAAAATTGGTGCCACACGAAACGCAGAACCGGTCCTGACATGCATTCAGACGTGCTTGGGCACTACAAAAATTATAAATGGAGTAGTTGTATTTCTCAGCATAGTAGCCATTTTCATTTAGGACATGGCAAGAGCACTTCTTGTTGACATACGCATGGTTCCAGTGTGGTTATAATAGAATGCATTGCTGTAAAATGCTCCCTTCAAAGTTTCAGTTAATTGCATCGGTGTATCATAACATTAAAGGTGAATAGACTTTACTGATTGGGACTTTGAGCATAGTCAACGGAATGATCAGAGAGCAGGGCGCTGATTGCCTTCCTTGGCATTGTAGCTTGCTCACTTGCCTGGGTCCTGTAGTGTCTGAATACCTGGTTACCAGGTTAATTCGTTATATCCATCATTCTTTAATGGAATGTGTGTCAATGTGTACCTGTAACCTGCGGTACCTTGTCTCGTGTAGGCATGTAGATACTGGCTTATTGACATTGATCCTTCTAAATTTTATCTTGATGTTTGATATTTGGATCCACTTTAATGTGAATGGGTTACTTGTAACTACAAATTTTGAGACTCATTAGCAAAGCATCTCTTGGGATTGTAGGTTTCTAACTCAATGAGCTTTGCTTTCACATCTGTGCTGGAATGCTTTGAGCATATCGTCATATCTTCCTTTCACAGAACTTTAACTGGAACATTGTTTGCTCTAGTAGAAAAGTAACACAGGTTATTAGTGCTGAATTCTTAGTCCGACATGTTAACCATCAATTCTTGAATCCGGAAATAAAAGGGAGTCCTCCCCCTTAGGAATGGGGAAGGTTATGCAAGAAATGTACCTACTCTTGTGGGCTTGCCTGAAACATGAGTCCTTGATCTGTTGTTTCTGCTCTAACCGTGCATTTATTTTGGTGTGGAACAGTTTGCGCACTGGCCTTGACCTTTGTTATGGGGCAAAGATACCTTGAAACTTCAAAGATAATGCCGGCTGGTGTCGTTGCTGGCCTCAGGTAACTTCATTTCCTTTTTCTTTTCCAACCATGCACCCCCACTGGATTATACAACGTTGTGCATCTGGTAGCACCATGTGAAGAACTTTCATATATTTCATTTATGTCGCTGTTGTGAACACAATATGCATCTCTGACAGAGCTAATTTGTTCACCGTCACAGTGCTCTGATGTCGGCATTCTATCTGTTCAAAATTGCTACCGGCGGCAACCATTTCTCGCCAAAGAAAGAGTAGGCCAGACGTTGCTTGGCCAAACCCAAAGACCATATGGCATATTGTGTTCTGCATTCGAATTGTAACTTGACTGATGTTCTATGTTGTGCTTGCACCTTTGCTCAAATGTTTTGTATGTGGACCTGGAAAGTATTCACCATGTAAATGAACTAACATTTCAATTGTGCTTCGTTGAGGCGCAAACTTGTCTTAGTTGCCTGTTGTCATTGAGCAAAAGTAAGTACTCCTAATTTCTTGTTCTTCGGTTAATCATGCAGAATTGATGTCTGGATCATGGTGTGTGATGTGATAAGTTACACGGCTTAAAACTTCTACGTAGGCCCCCTGCAACAGCTTTGGAGGGTTTTTTTTTTTTGGAAAGGAACTTCATAAATCAACCATGATGATTACATTCAGAATCAACAATGCTAGCTATCACCATAGGGAGTTTCGGAGTCAACATGTTGTGCGTTGTTCCGATCGACCTATACAAGCAAGGGGTGACTCGCCACATTCGCGTGCCTACTGATCTCATAGCTTGACTAATGTTTCTTTCTTGAGCTTTGGAGGTTGAAGACAATGCGCCAGGTAACCAACCAAGGGCTAGTTCTTTTCGGCGATTCACCCAGAATCGCCCCCTCCCTAGCTTATCCCAGAATCGTCACTCCATATTTTTTTTACAATCCTATCTAGTTAAGGTCTAATTAGCTGGGATTGTAAAAAAAAACATATGGAGTGGTGATTCTGGGGAGTAAATAGCATAAAACTACTAGTTTACAGGTTAGGGTTCTAAAAAACTACCACTTTTTAATTTTTCTCAGAAAGCTACCAAACGCGCGGTCCGCTGTTTCAAAAAACCCAAACCCGCGGTGACTAGCGATTTAACCGTTTTTCTGACGGATTGGGCCCACATGCCAGGCCACCTGGCCACGCGCGCTCACGGCGCGGCCGTTGACGGCCGTTAGCTGACGCGGTCCGGTCGGAACCACTCTCTCGCTCCCCCTCCTCTCCACCTCCTCTCCCCCGCAGTGACCTAGGTGGGCGATGGCGGCGGCGCAGCCAAATGTCGTCGGCGGCGAGCTATTGAGCCAAGGTGGCACCGGCCAGGAGGGCGGTCGACAGTCAGAGGTGGACAAATGGCTAGGCAGCTCGAGCTTCCCGGCGCAGCAGTCGCAGCAGCCATCACTGCCCGCGGCTCCTGTGGTCCGCTGAGCTCAGATTCGGAAGTCCGCGCGGCCAGGGCAGTGGCAAAGCGCATCCACGCTGATCCAGCAGGCGGCCACCATTGGGCGTCGTCCTTTGGTGGAGTGAGGTAAACACTGTTTGTTCTTAGCATGCTACTGTATTTTTGGGTGCTTTAGTTCAAATTAGAATTAGAGATAGTAATTGTTTGTTCTTGGCATGCTACTGTATTTTATTGGTTAAGTCAGTGTAGAAGAAAGTGCATTTGGTTAGTTCATTTGGTCAGTGCATTCACTGTAATTAGAAGAAAGTTCAGTAATGTTCAGTGACTTAAAAAACGGTTGTTTGTCAATTTAATCCTACAGCTTAGATGAAGAGATTTGGGACTTGAGGCTACATTTCCAAGGAATAGATAATATGGAGAAAAAGTATTCAGTTTCCTCAGATATCAGTTATCTGACCATATTAGCATTGGTTGAGTTGGAGGGCTATGGCATGGATGCATTTCTGACATATGTAAAGGAAGAGGGAAAGGGGCTGGAGGGTGTGGAGGCCCTGAATAGTGAGGAGGCATTAGAGGAAATGCTTGACTTATTTGTTGATAATAAGGTACTGAACATCAGTGTCAGAAAAGCTACTGATCCAAGCCCAGCAGATGAGGAACAGATCCCCATTGATCATGATGGTGATCCTGTTGTTTACAGAGTTTCACAAGGTGTTCTGTACCCTGCCTCTAATGCTAGTTTGCCAGCTTTAACCCCCGATGAGCCCTACATGAACACACAGCAAAGCAGCAATTTTAACAAAGGGAAAACGGTTGTGGAAGAAGAAGATGTGGAAGAAGAAGATGTAGAAGAAGAAGCAGATGAAGAAGAAGAAGATGTACCAGAGGAAGAAGATGAAGTTGAAGATGACAAATCATCTTCAGATTTTGAGTTCTTTAGGGGTGATTACAGAGGGGAGAAAATTTCTTACAAAGCTTGGTGTAGGGGTGAAGATGAGGCTGGCACTGATACTGCAGAGCACTTTTGTGCAGCTAACTCAGAACCTTCTGAGTTTTGGGAGGAAGAACCAGTTGTTTCTGAAGATGAAGTAGTAGAGGATCCTGCTGTAACTACAAAAGCAGCCAAAAAGCTTAAGCCAGTTAGAAAACCTGGCCCAACTAGCAAGTCTCACAGTGAGCCTGAGCACAGCAAGTTTGAAGATTATGTCCCTGAAGCTGATGAGTACTGTTTTCCAGGTGATTTTGGCATAAGTGATGAAGATGATGCACCAAGGCTGCCATCTGGAAGGAAGAGTAGGAAGAAGCAGAAGAAGGAGAGGATATGGTATGATCCATCAAGGCCTGATGCACATGAGCAGTTTGCAATGCATTTGTGCTTTGAAAATGTAGTTGAGTTCAGAGAAGCAATTAGAAATTTTCATGTGAGGACTCTTAGGAATTTTGAGTATCACAGAAATGAACCAACTAGGGTTATTGCTTGGTGCTCTAACAGAAAACATGGTTGTGAGTTTTACATAGTTGCCTCCAAGATAGCTCATGAGGCAACTTTCAGTATCAAGAAGATGAACCTGGATCACACTTGTGGAGCAAGTGGAGAGAACACAAAGGTGACAGTCAATTGGGTTGCTAAGGTTTGTGAGGATACAGTCAGATCCAACCCTGGAGCTGGTGTTGAAACAATTATGTCATACACAAAGAAGAAGTTTGGTGTGCATGTGCCTGAAAGCTTGGCATATAGGGCAAGGAAGCAAGCAGTTGAGGTTGTGCAAGGAGATCACAAACTCCAGTATCACAGAATAAGGGACTACCTGCAGTGTGTGCTAGATACTAACCCTGGCAGTAGGTGCATAGTAACAACACATGAGGACCCACTTAACCCAGCTCCTACCCCAAGGTTTCACTATATGTTTTACTGCTTGTTTGCATGCAAGGAGGGTTTTCTGAATGGATGCAAGCCATTTATAGGTAAGTATTTAGAAATTTATATGCTTTTTAAACATTGATGTACTTAGGCACTCATGTTATCATGTTAGTAGGTCTGGATGGTTGCTTCATCAAGCTAAGCACTGGTCAGCAGATATTGGCAGCTACAGGGAGGGATGGCAACAATAACATCTTCCCAATAGCTTTTGGTGTTGTTGATAAGGAAGAGATAGACAGTTGGACATGGTTTCTCACACAGTTGAGAACAGTCATTGGAACTGGCAATAAGTTTGGCAAATACACAATTATGTCTGACAGGCAGAAGGTATTGTTCTGAACCTAGTCTTTACATTTGCCTTTACATTTGCCATGAGTAAAATGTTATTTAGTAGATGAGTAACACTTAAGATTACCTTACATTGAACAGGGATTGTTGAATGCAATAGATGATGTATTCTCTGACTCTCCACAAAGGTTTTGTCTTAGACATATTTATGCCAATTTCCAATCTGCTAGTTTCAGAGGAGAGGAACTTAAGAAACATGTAGATCAGGCTGCCTATTCCTTTACCAAACATGGACATGATTTAGGCATGGAGAATTTGAAAAAAGAAAGTTTAGAAGCTTGGCAGTGGTTTTCACAGATACCAGAGCATACCTGTGCTAGGTATAAAATGGACACTGTGTGCAAAACAGACCTGGTAGTAAACAACCTTAGTGAGGTTTTCAATAGAATGATATTGGATGTTAGGAACAAGCCAATCAGGACTATGTTAGAGGGCATAAGAACAAAGCTGATGATTAAGTTTCAGAAGATCAGAGAGAAGATAGAGACATGCAGATGGGAAATCACACATACTTATTCAGAGATTTTAGAAGAGGGGAAGAAGTGGGCTAAATATTGTGAAGCATACATGGCAGGGCCAGGGATATGGCAGGTCACAAGTAGCTCTGAAAACACATATTGTGTTAATTTGAACAATGAGACCTGTGACTGTAGGAGGTGGGACATGACAGCTATCCCCTGCAGTCATGCCATTGCTGCAATGTAGAAAGTGAAGATACACCCTGAAGACTATGTTTCTGTTTTTTTCAAGAAACCCATGTATTGTGAAACATATAAGCACATAATATTCCCTGTGCCAAGTCCTGACCATTGGCCTCATACACCTGGTGATGATATTTCTCCCCCTGTGTTTAGAGAAAAGAAAGGAAAAAACAAACTGCCAGGAGGAAAGGCCTTTTTGAGGTGCCAGCTAAAAAGGATACCTCTAGGATTGGTACAGTGACATGCAGCAACTGCAAGAAGCAAGGGCATAGGATCAACAATTGTGGTGTCCCTTTGAAACCTAAGTTCCATATGAGGCTGAACAAGCACCAGGTATGTCCATTCATTCCATTGTTACATTCATTGCATTGTTACATTCATTTCATTTGTAGGAAAATAGTTCTAACTAATATTGTTGTGTAGGAAAATAGAGCAAACTACTCTGAGGCTGGTTCTTCAATGGCTGCAACTGCACAAAGGCCACCAAGGGTACATGCTGCCTCTGCACCTGCACCAACTCCTCGTCCAACAACAACTGAGTCAACACAGATAACTTCTAGGTCAAGGAAGAGGGAAGCACCAGCTACAACAGCAGCACCACCACCTCTCAAGAAGAGCAGGACCAACACCTCTTCTGAAATAGTAGTACCACCTCCCAAGAAGAAGAACACAACTATTTATGGCAATGGATCAAGGTCTTCTCCAGCAAAGAACACCAGGTCATCAAGGTCTTCTCCAGCAAAGAACACCAGGTCATCAAGGTCTTCTCCAGCAAAGAACACCAGGTCATCAAGGTCTTCTCCAGCAAAGAACACCAGGTCAGCTGCTGCCAATAGAGATGGCACTGGATCAAAGAGGGTCAGGAAGCCATCTAATAGGCTGAAAGATTACTTTTATGCAAGTGGTAACTAGCTGAAGTTGTTGAACTCCAAGTGCTTGATACTGTTTGATTTGGTTTGTAATAACATTGCCTCACTAAGTACTTGATACTGCACTGTTTGATTTGGTTTGTAATATGGTACTGTATGTGGATTCTGCACTTGTTTGCAACTTCATTTCATCTGTAACTTTTATCTATATGTGGATTCAACACTTGATATACACCTTACAGATAGAAACATAGATAGAAAGATAGTCTCATAGATAGTCTCATAGATAGAAAGATAGATCTCTAGAAACATACATAGATAGATCTCTAGATAGATAGATAGTCTCATAGATTACATAGATAGATAGTCTCATAGATTACATCAAAATCTCACAAAAACTACCAAAACTCTCTCTCAAATTGACTTACAGATAGAAAGATAGATAGCTAGATCAGTCATAGCGCTCAAAGAAACGGACCCACTTGGCCCTAGTTGCTGGATGAGGAGCCATGACTGCCCTAATCCTTGCCCACCTAATTATCTCCATGAATGATCTTCCCCTGCCTCCAGTGAAAACCAGCTCTAGTTCTTCATCATTGCACTTATCCAGTACCTTGTTGGCGAGTCGGCGGTTGAACTCCTCTTGCCGCTCATCCTGGGCCGCCTCTAGGGCCCTCTGCCTGCGCCTCCTCCTCCTCCTCTGTGCAGCTGCTGCTGTCCTAACCTCCACAGCCTCCCCCTCTTCCTCTGTGACATCTCCCATGTCAGGATCCATCTGTAGGGTTTCTTTTGGGTGGCGGCTGGTGGAGTGACTGCGAAAGGGTGGGGGTGGGGAGGGGTTTATATTGACAGATGGATGGGGTTGGGTTTAGTAGGCCTAGGGTTGCATTTGGTCAGAGAATAGTGAGCCACCAAGCCCAATTAACCACAGAAATAATATATGTAGGCTAACAAATAACATCTAAAAGATAGAAGATCAAGTTGAACACTTAATAGCATACAAGATCCATTTCCACAACTTAGTAGCATAAGAGATCCATTTTCCACTACATAATAGCATAGGAGATCCATTACAACACTTAATAGCATAGGTGATCCATTAGAACTTAACAACATAGTAAATAAGGTTCTTACACTAGGTTAAACTTCACATTCCCCCAAAATGTACACCCATAATCACTTGCAGTCATGCCAGGCCACATCCTTATATAAAGGCCTTTGGATGTACTTACTTCACCAACATATCAAAGCCACTTCAAGAATCAAGGATGGCCTTGATTTGCTCTAGCTTCTCCTTGCTGCCATACCCTTCTTTCAGCAGCTCAGCAACAACAAGCTCAAGCTTTGCCTTCTCCTTCTTAAGAACATCTCTGTCAACTTGAACATCCTTCATAGCCTTCCTGGTGTTCTTGATGATATCAACTTGGCTCTGCAAAATGCACCTCTGCTCTTTTGCAAGTTTGAGCTTTTCCATCTGCACCTCCAACATAGCTTTCTCCTCTAGCTCCTTCTTCTTCTCAAGTTCTTCCTCCTCCACTTGTTTCTGGTGCATCTTCTTGTCCACCCTACCATCCTGCCAATCAAACATCTTGGATACATCATCAACAAGCTTGGTGTACTCAATGCAAAGCTTGTCATTTTCAGCCCTAAGCTTGGCCAACTCCCTTTCATGTTCACTCTTAAGCCTGGCCAACTCCTTCTCAAACTTCTCCTTGTCCTGTACCCTTCCAAAGTTCTGTTCATGGAATATCTCCCATAGCTTGCACAAACATCTCTGAAGAACAGTTGGCCAAGGCCCATCAACCCACTCTACAACACCACAATTCACACCATTTTCCTGCATTTATAAATGTGATAAGTTATTACAAATGGACTAGGAGCTTATTTCAGTTCCATGATTAACTTGTATATACTTGATAATTTCTAACAATGAATAACATAAATGAGATATGATAAGTTATTATAATGCCATGATTAAGTTTCCAAAGTAACAAAAATACATAGCAGAAAAATGTTTATTGGCATCATATCAAACAAAGTGCTGCATCATATCAATCATCAGTGACCATACATAGCAGAAAAGTTTATTGCCATCTAACCTGGACTGGCCAGCCATAGAAACGCCTTCCTGTTAAAGGCCCTTCAAAAGCAACACGCTTAATAGGCCTCATTTGATGCAGAATGCACTTGGGATGAGCAAGCTCAAGTTGGCCATAGAAAAGGGGCTCCACAGTGGTGTCTGGTTCCTCCTGCAACCAAAATAACCAGCAAACACTAGTTTCAATCTGCACTCAACACCAGAATATACTTGCACGCTTCATTAAACATGAACACTAAAAAAATCCCCAACTCAGCATGAACCCTAACACTGTACTGAGATGAACCCTAGCTTACATCAATCCTACAATCAAACCCCAGCCTCACTATTGAACAAGAATCCTACAACACCAACACTACACTTAGCAAGATCCATGGCGGTAGCCTAGGCCTACTCGGCCTACTAGCACCTAACCCTAACCCTAGGTGGCAAAGAACTTACCATAAGTCCCATGTCCATGCTGACGACCTCGCAGTCCTCCTCCGAGCTAGTTTCCTCGTCGTTCCAGGAAGGCATGGTGGCAAGGAGGTCAACGACGAGCCACCTCAAAGACGGCGAGCGGCGGCGAGCTCGTACTGGAGCAGGGGAGTGAGAGCAGGGGAGTGAGAGCAGGGGAGTGAGCGAGCAGGGAGAGAGTGAGTGAGCAGGAGCGACCGACCGAGGGGGTTTATTTACCCCGTTCCGACCGGGCCGCGTCGGCTAACGGCCGTCAACGGCCGCGCCGTGAGCGCTTGGCCAGGTGGCCTGGCATGTGGGCCCAATCCGTCAGAAAAACGGTTAAATCGCTAGTCACCGCGGGTTTGGGTTTTTTGAAACAGCGGACCGCGCGTTTGGTAGCTTTCTGAGAAAAATTAAAAAATGGTAGTTTTTTAGAACCCTAACCTGTAAACTAGTAGTTTTATGCTATTTACTCGATTCTGGGAGAAGCTGGGGAGGGGGGTGATTCTGGTAGAATCGCCAAAAAAAATTGGCCCCAACAGCCTAGCTAGGCACTATTGTTTTCGACTGCTTTGCCTATTGGTGGTCCATAACATTTTCCTGTGTGGCTGATCCGATATGTGCACAGTTGCCATCACAAAGACGATGAGGCTGTTTCAAGTGGTCCATTGTCAAGGTTGCTGTAAAAATGAAGAGACGATGAGCAGTAAGATTGTGTGCATTATTCGTTGATTACAGTTACATATTTAATATGCCCTGAAGGGGCGACAGTTACAAGAGAGGGGGTGCGATTGTGAACGCGACTGTTTACAAGAGAGCTTACGGGAACTGTTGTGCACACGACCATTGCACGATGGCTCATCTAGCGGTGTGCTGCTGTCTGTTGCCATGCATGGATGGCCTTATTGGATTTGTCATTCAAGAATCGTGTGCATAGTGTTGTGCGCGTATCAGTGCTCGTGCTTAGAATGAGGGAAGAATTCCCCTTAACAAGTACTCTTGATCTATAAACGATCTTACAGTAGTTTACAGAGGGAGTGTTCCGTGCTAACAAAGTTTTCAACATATCCCTTAATCTACGCATCTCCACGCATCATATCTTGAAAAAGCTCTTCAAAAATCCGTGGGAAAAATGTGCTCGATGTGTTGTTAAAACTTCTTCAAACTCAGTGAGAAACACACACAAAAACGATACATTATATAATGGTTATTGCCTCTTTGATAACTCGCGTGGAAAAACCTTTCAATAAATATGCCTTATATGCTTCCTTCAAAAACTCTGGTGGAAAAAGTATGTAGTATGACATAAAATCTTGCGTAGAACCTTGAGAGTAGTAAGTTAAAAAAAGATCCTTGAGAGTAAGTAATCTATATCTATTATTAAAAGGAGGTGATATTCTTGGTTTCGTTCCGCTTCAATTAATTTTACCTACGCTATTTGGTTTCATTACTTGCCACCTGTTTTGGCCCAACAGAGGAAGCCCACCTGACGGTGCACTGTGGCCCACATTTGGAGAGCTGGCAAAAAATAAAATAGCCGTTGACAGGGCTCGATCTCATAACCCGCCAACCGACCACATATAGTTTGCCCAATTGACCCGTCTAGAGATATGAGAGAATTTTTTTTCTTCCATTGCAACGCACAGGCCTTTTTGCTAGTAAGTTCATAAAGTTTAAACAAGCGTGGAGATTATGGACTTTTAAACAAGTGTATGCAAAATCTGCAAAGCTTCACAAAAATGAGCAAACTGGGACGTCCATGGGGTCGGCATGCACCATGACCTCGGGCACAGGTCCTGCCAGCTGTCGCTGTCGCCAAGAGGAGCGCCAGGGGCAGCGCCAAGCACAGCGATAGCAGCAGAGTCTACAACGGATAATCATCCCCAACAAGTTCCAATAGTTAAAAGAGGAGCAGCAGCAAAGATCAAATAACGAAGCAGAAGCAGAACCCAGTCTCAGACACAGCAAACCACGTACATAAACACATAACCTCAAGCACACAGATAGGAGATAGTTCAAACATATAAACCACCCACATAACACACTTTAGGTTGCAGTCATACAAGTTCATAAAAGAGGGGAATGATCCAGCACCAACAAGGGAAACAAGACCAATCTTTATTCGTGTAGTAGCGAGATGTGGGGCCGATGGCAGCAGGTCAAGACCATGCTGGATGCTTAGTCATCGTAGTTGTGGCGGCGATGGTGGTGGTGCTTCTCGTAACGTTCCTTCTTCTCATCATCAGAGTCATCGCGCTTCGCGTAACGGTTCTTCTTCTCATCATCAGAGTCGTCATCCTGTAAAGAAGCAGCACGAAATATTTAGGGTCGATGAGAAAGATCTGATTATAACATTACAGGAAGCATAATGTTTGTCTGCTTCAAGAAGTGCACCAAAAAAAGGGAAAATAATACAGCAAAAAGGTGGTACAAGCAAGATTGCAAACAATACTCCTATTGCTGAGGGCTATGGCACAATTTTTTTATCTTAAATATACAAAGATTGCATTTACTCAAGTACACAGATGATAAGTTATCAAATGTACGATAAGTATGGGTCATAAGATTATTGCATTCTTAAAGCTAGGTGTTCAATCTTAGACGACTAACCATTAGTGTGATTGTCACTAATTTGTTTAGCTACATTTCTGACAAATTCTTCTGGGAGACAACGATAGCATATATACCAGACTAATTTACAACCATATCAGTATTTAAGTAAATGATGAATTTACACAACAAAAAAGTACTCCCACATAGAGTCAATCACTACTGTCAATCAAATAATCAAAAGAAACACCACATGTAGAATCAATCAGTGTTGTCAATGCTCAAAAGTAACATTACACTAACTCAATTTTTAGTAGACAAGTGAGCACATGAGCATGCTTATTGAGTACTGGGAACAAGAAAAAATTCCCAGTGCACTAAGCATTTCAATGGACCGGCTGAACAGAACCGTTCATGTTAGCATAACAACTGTACTATTCAGCAAAACATTTTTCGCTTTCCAGCATTTAAATTTACTATATGTGCAACTCTTTTATTTCTTGACCACATATAAAGCATGAATTCTAAATTGTGCATTGGCATGCTAACTCTAACCCCTTTCAAAACCCATGAACTGTTGTCACTTGTCAGCTAACGACATGTAGTTGAATGGCAAGAAATGGTTGTATCCATCATCTCCCACCTGCTGCAAGACACAATTACAACCACGCCAACAAGTAATAATCATCTAACCTTTCCTTGACCACTCACTAAACAAGTTAATCACAACAAAATGCATAGGCACAAAACAGTAAACACACGAGAGCAGGAGCTTACATGATCCTTGACAATTCAATAAACAAGTTAATTGTAACAAAATCATATGCTCAAACAGTAACGGAAACGGGCAGGAGCTCACCTGCTTCTTGCGGCCATAGTTCCCCTGGCCATACCCACCACCATATGAACCCTGGGTCTCCTCTCCATACGGCTTGGGCTTCTGGTACCCACCAGACCCATAGGCACCTTCATCCTCGCCTTGCACCTTCCTGCCAGATCCATACCCAGAACCACCATAGCCCTCCTCCTCAGTCTTCCTCCCGCCATACCCAGCGCTACCGTACTCCTCTCCCCCTCCCTGGGGCCTGCTTCCGTACCCCGACCCATAGCTCTCCTCCACCTGCGGCTTCCTTCCGTACCCAGAGCCATACTCGGATCCGCCGTAGGTCTGCTCCACCTGCGGCTTGGACCCGTATCCGGAGCCGTAGCCCTCCTCCGGCTGCGTCGCGTTCCCGTACCCAGATCCGTAGCTCTCCTCGGCCTGCGGCTTCCTCCCGTAGCCGGAGCCGTACCCGGACCCGTAGGCGGGCTCCTCCTGCTGCTGCGGCTTCCGGCCGTAGCCGGATCCGTAGGTGTCCTCCTCGGAGCGCTGGGGCTTGGACCCGTAGCCGGAGCCGTAGGCCGGCTGCTCCTCCTGCTGGGGGCGGAAGCCGTAGGCCGGCTGCGGCTTGGATCCGTAGCCGGAGTCGTCCTCCTCGCCCCCGCCGCCGTAGGACGGGCGCTGCTCCTCCGCCTGGGGGCGGAAGCCGTATGCGGGCTGGGGCTTGGGCTTGGGCTTGGGCTTGGATCCGTAGCCGGAGTCGTCGTCCTCGCGGCCGTAGGAGGGCTGCTCGTTCTGGGGGCGGAAGCCGTAGGCGGGCTGGGGCTTCTGGTGGTGGGCGTAGGGGGAGGGCTCCTCGGCGGCGTAGTGGGGCGCGTCGTAGGAGGTGGAGGGGGCGGAGCAGGGGTAGCAGGTCTCGTCGGAGGGCGGGAGCGGGCGGCCGAAGGTGACGAAGAGGTCGTAGCCGCCGCCGTAGGGCGTGGAGTCGAACTCGTCGAAGTCGTCCGGCTCGTCGCGGGACCTCAGGTTGTACGCGGTCGCCATGGCTTGCTGCTGCGCTGGTGCGGGATCGGGGCGGAGATCGGGGGAGGGGGGGCAGGAGCGGTGTGTGACCTGGGAGTCCACAGGGCGCGCGTGCTTATGCTGCGGTGCGATGGGAGGGATGCGATCGATTATTAGCGCGTCGGCGACGTGTGGGGGTGAACGCGAGATCTGTGGGAGTCGCGGGGTGCACGTGGTGAGTGGCTGGGCGGTGGGACTGGCCGACTGGGGGTGACCGAGACACCGGGCGAAGACGGGCAGCCGACAGGGCACGCTGGACGCGCGGCACCGGGGGAATGGAGGATCCGGCTTGCCTGGTCTCTTCCCATCGTGATCTGCCCCCGCGACAAATTTGATAAATTTAACCTCAAAACGAAAGTATTTCACAAACTAAAATGCTTTTAAAAATATTTCACACTGCTGACCCTTTTGTGTAGCACCCGATAACGAGGCGCTGCACTCTACTGTGCAACTCCTTAGAGCTAGGCGCTGCATAATGTGACGCCTAAGTGTTAGGCGTTGCACAGTAGAGTGCTGCGCCTTGCTGTCAGGCGCTGCACATTAAAGGTCAGCCGGATGAAATACTTTCAAAAACAGTTTAGTTTGTGAAATAGTTTCGATCTAAGGTCAAATTTGTGCCTTTTGCCCCCGCTCGCGACGGGTGAAAACGGCACGTTCGGCTGCCGCGCCCTGGCCTGGGTGACCGCGTCACAAAAATCATGTGGCCGCGCACCGGGTAATAAGCTGACTGTCGTGTGTGTTTACCGTGATTTTTACTGGAGAAGACTCACCAAAATGTATGGGAGTGAGTATAGGAATTAGGACCCATGTACCAACGTGCACACTCTTGGAGTTGATCAGGGGCGACAGGCCAGTCCCGGCTGCGAGGCCAATAGAGACCATTCGCATGCTCCATGCGCGACGAGCCGCTGTCCGTCATTCATCGCGAATAGATTGTTGTGGACTGGTGGTGATGGTCTACTGCCACCCCGTCTCCTCTCCGCCAAACGTAATTTTCTCATCTATGCATGATTTTTACTTCCTCTGTTCACTTTTATAAGATCTTTAAGACAATGTACAAAACAGTCCATTTTGAGTTGTCTGAAATGACTTACAAAAGTGAACGGAGAGAGTATTTTTCTTTAGGACCGACTTAACCAAGCATGACAATCATGAACGACTTGCATAGCAATTTATGTTGGCTAAGGATGGCAGGTTTAGTTGACAAGCATGACAAATCTGCCATCCTCACAACAATATAAATTGTCATAAAAAAACTTCCATTCTACCATGCCCTCCCAGGGAACATCCGTTTATTTCATATGTCGTCCTATTACCTAGGTGACCTTAAATATTTCTAACTAACAGGACAATTATAGAAAACTAATATAAGTATAGTTTTATCTAAAAAGAGCAATTTGCTATATTCAATAAAACATTTTCTTTGGACTAATATAAGTATAGTTTTATCTAAAAATCATGATAATGGCAATACCACTACTCCAGGAGCAACTCAACTACCTGAGCACCAGTATTATAAATAAGGTAAATCTGGGCACATATAGAAAACAAGGAAATGTGGCAACATATTCTACTCTTCCTTGCCACCTAATTTCAGGGGTAAATGCATAGAGTTCATGTTGCAGCAAAGGATCAATTAGCAGCACCCTATTCTATGGAATATTTATTTTTGTACACTTGTTACAGCAAAAAAATAAAGAGAGAGAGAGAGAGAAGAATCAACACTGCTGCTGTAAAGAATAGTGATTTTAGCACAAACAGCAGAGATTTTCTTTGGAAATCTAACTGCCAATTCAGACAAATTTGCCATGGTGTGATATACACAAGGCCTGGCCACGGTGCCTCTTGATGCTCAAGGTGAACGTATCAATAGCATCTTTCTGTTGAATAAACATGAATCATCCAACTTTGGCTGGAAAACTAAAGACATATAACTAAACAAAGGAGGATCCCATTCTACCTGGCACGCTGACTCTGAAATCTCAACTTTGTTATGACATTGCCCAACATCACTATTTTGGACTAACTGTCCTGGAATTTTTCTTCCTTTTTCCTTCCTTTTGATTTGCTTGATGGATGTGTTTATTTTTTGGACTGTCTTCCACCCAATAGATGGACTGAAGCAGTAATGCTCGGCAGATTTCTGCCAGCCTCACTGGAAAATTTACAGCTGTCTTTGGAGGGTAAAACGACCAAAATCTCACCTTTTCCATCATCGGCAAGCATTTCTTGGAGCTATACAAAGAATGGTATAGTTACAGACGGACAGCTGGTGGACGGCAGGAAAAACCAATGCACCCTTTTTGTTTATGTTATCAGCTGATGTTGATCTCTGATTTTTCTTACTCATCTGTTTCCTGTACTCGCTGTCTTCGTGGTTGGTTGGCAGACAATTTTTTCAATGCTCGTTTTAAGGCAGCCATGATCTCTGAAAATGATGGACGCGTCTTTGGGTCTCTACAATCAGACAAAATACAAACAGAATTCAGACCCTAAGCATATATGTAAGTACAGTTGGAGATGTAAGACTGATAAGGCAGAGAAGAAAAGAATCATGTAACTATCGCTTTCTTTTCAACTTAGATGAAAGAATGGTTATGGTAACCTGTTGTTTTAGTATTGGTCGTCAGATAGTAACATGTGTATGTTTTTTACACTACTAGTGTCAAAAACGCTCTTATATTATGGGACGGAGGTAGTCCTAATTTACCATTTCAGGTATGGTGTATGTTAGTATTTGTGATAAAAAAATATATGTAGTTTCTTCAGTATAATGCGAAGTCATTACTTTATTCCCTCTCACAATGAGTCGATAGGTTCTTTCTTGAACACATTTATAGGCATATAAAATAAAATGAATGTGAAATTAAGAGTACCTCATTTGCTTATAGTACCATTTTATACAAGTGGAAATATTATAGGAACTTCTAACAATTTATCATGCAAGAAAGAGAACACACGAATTTGATATCTGAACAAGCTTACAAGATTCGACTTCTAAACCAGAAACTAGCAACTACAACAAACCCGAAAATAATATCCCAATAAAAGTGTCGTCTAGAACTTCACTTGTAAGGAAAAACAGAAACATGATGTTCTTTGGCAAGTAGGCATAGCACCACTAGCTTTCTCTAGCATGCAAAAGAAGGTGATATTTCTCTAGGGGTGCTAATGTCCTTTCAAACAATTAAAGGTTAAGCCAAATTGTTCATAATCCACTTTTCTTCCGACTTCTAATAGTTTGGTGTGTGAAACTTTCGATCTGAATCGTGAATGCATCTCCCATCGCATTACCTCTTAATTGTAGACTTAAGACACACTTCATTACCTCTTAATTGCAGGCATATGGCTCGCAATTTAACCTATGCTTAGTGCCAAGTCTTCTTCTTTGAGCGGTTGGGAAAGAAATAATTATATGGTGGAAAAATTATATAAATATGGATTTTCACAACTGTTTGTATAGTCCCTCCATCCGCAAATAGATAGCGTAGAAACTGAGTCAAAAAGTCAATGCTTTCTAAGTTTTACTGGCGTATAAACTGAGTCAAAAAGCAATGTTTTCTAAGTTTAACCAAGCATATATACAAAAATATGAAGATAAACAATATCAAATCAATATCAATATATCCACTATTAGATATATTTTCATAATGAATTTATCCACTACGGAGGGAGTAGTTGTTAATAGCTTATTAACTATGGAGGGAATATATTTTCATAATGATCTTATATTTCTTTATGGAGGGTGTACTAAAATTGAGACACTTATTTTGGGACGGAGGGAGTAGTTGTTAATAGCTTCTTCTATATATTTGGTCAAACTTAGAAGTAGTTAACTTTTTAACTGAATTTATAGGTGATCTATTTAGGGACGGAGGGAGTACTTCCCATGCAACATGCCCACAGTTGCTAGTGTAACTACAATGTGAGTAATAAAATGCACAACGCCTTCAAACAACCAGCATCTTGCAGCAAAGTACTCCAGGAAAATAATAGAAACAGTGATATTCTATCAGATAATGATGTATATGAAGCAAGTTCAAGCATACTAACGTCTGCCAGCATCTCTCTATTATCTCTGCTATGGCAGGATCCACTTCGGCTGGAATATCAAGGCGTCGTTCCTGAAAGCCAACAGCTCCAACCACTTGCATGGGATTCATACCTTCCCATGGCTGTAACAAGGTACAAAGTTCCCATAATATAACCCCATAGCTGAAAACATCACATCTGCAATGTAAACGGTAAATAAATCATTTGTCAAATAAAATAGGGGAAAAGCACACATATGAGGGAGCAACATGAAGAACTTACTTCTCATCCGACGGTTCATTTCGAAGCACTTCTGGTGCCATCCATTCCGCCTGCAATTGATGCACATGGTCAGTAACCTGTAAAAGTATTTGACCTAGACCCAGCTACCAGATCAGCAAACTTCCATGTTTAAGTCATTCAAAAAACTTCCATGTTTAAGAATATCCTAGATACAAGAATAGAGAACTTGTACGTTCAAAATATGTAGCGCTAACTTGCTCGTAGTACAGTAAACACACAGTCGAGGAACAAGATAAACCAGTTGTGTCTAAATACTTGCATGAAAATGGCCATATCAAGGCTGTGTTCTTATTGATGTACTGGTATTTCATCATTTGACCATCATTCCAATCCACTCAGTCTCATACCCACAGGAATGCATCACTCTGTGGTAGACAAACAAGTAACTATGAATAATAAATGATGAATCGGTATGCAAAGTCGACTACACAGGGGCCAATCTGTACTCTAGGTTTGTTATCCAGGGACCATGGCCCTTTGTGTAATACATAGAAAGCCCTTACATAATTTTATCTTTTGTGAGCACTTTCCAGGTGTTAAAGACCTTTTGCCACACAAATATATGCAAGTTTAAAGAAGATTCATGCCACAATAAATCAAAGCAACTGCCTACAGCTCAACAACCTTCTCCCAACCCCTGAAGCTACTTACACAAACCTTCTCCCAACCCCTGAACCTACTTACAGCAATCTCTAAAATTGAGTCGGCTAGCGTTTCAACTTTTCCTACACAATGGAGTTACAGATAGACCCATATACATGTTTATGGCTATGCTTGGCAATGATGTAGATTATGACAATCCCATTTTCTCAACTAGCTTGTGCATGTTTTATCATTTCGCTAACCAACTTTCTTCTGTTTCTGCAGCTAACCCACAGCAGGTTAGAATATAAGTCCAGCACAACAAAGCTCAGCAAGCACAAACTCCGCCTACATTACAGTGAAATAAAGAAGTTCATACAAAAGCAGAACCAACACATAAGCTGTCTATTCTCTATGTTTTTCCAACAAAAAAGTTTCCTGTTCTTAGTTTAGTAGAAAATGTAAAATTAAACACAATCACAAGCAAGCTTACTGTTCCAGCTGTGGATCTTGAGGAAAGGAAGGTATTGTGCTTTATACGTGATAAACCAAAATCACAAACCTAAATAATAACAAGACAATGAAAATGGTTATACATCAAGAAATGGCAGAAAGAATCCAAAAAATATCACTGTTTACTACCTTCACAACCCAATTCTTGTCAACAAGTAGATTCGGTGACTTCAAATCTCGATGAACTACAACTGGGGTACAATTGTGCAAATAATTCATTCCACGGGCCTGTGGCAAACAAGAACCAGGTAGGCAAGTTAGATACAGTCAAATTTAGTCCAACATTCTGCACATGAATGAGCTAGTACAACAAAAACGCAGGCATACCACATCAAGTGCCATCCTTATACGTTTTCTTTCATCCAACTGGTTGTTGGGGCGACGGATCAACCGAAACAAACTACCTCTGCATTGTGCCATTGTCAATATCACAGTTAGCAATTATTAGTCAATGAGTCCAGCAGTCTACTGAGAGAAATATTAAGAACATCACAATCTCAAAAGCTTATATATACTACTCCCTCCAGTTCGTGATAGAAGTCCTTTTGGATGACAATCGAATCAGCGCTCAAAATACTGATATAGTCGGATTCAAATACATATATAGTCGGACTCTTACTAGGCCGTGGACTCAAACATGTGGACTCCATTAGACCAAAGTACTAGCTCCCCAACAATTATCTGCATGATAGCTAGTGTTTGATTTCCATGTGTGTAAAAGAAAGTGAGAGTTATTGTATATATGCAGGTTCTCTACATATTGTTCTCAGCTGAGGGTGACTGTATCTCTCAACGTATGGTTCTCAGCCGGCAATCAGGTCAGAGTCTCAAATTTGTCGTTAGAAGATTATTTGAAAGTTTGCTACCTCGATTGTATATTCCCAGTAGTTATTTTATTCATTCAAAGATGATACATTCCAGAAGATCAGGTGACCATAAACTTTTCACGAGGTTGATTCGTATCAAGAAATTACACGTAGGTCCTATGGGGACAACAACTTCATCTGAAATTTCTTTGAACAGCGCACAACTGTTAACCTTTGAGCCAAATACAACCTCTTTCAGTTCCTTTTAAAATGAGGTGACAGTCTGTGAACTAATCACTAATCCATTTTAGCAAAACAAAAGAAAAGGTGTCAGTCTGTGAACTAATCCCTAATCCATTTTAGCAAAACAAAAAAAAGGTGACAGTCTGTGAACTAATAATCACTAATTCTGGGAAACTTTGGCGTGTAAATGGGCCCCGGTAGTGTTCAATTTTGAAGCAGTTGCACTAAAAAACAAAAGAAAATGCATCAAGCCATCAAGGGAGTAAAACGTACCTTGGAAGAAATTCAGTCAAGATAGAAAGATTGGGTATACGAGTGACAGCACCCATAAATAGAACAACATTTGGATGCCGCAGTCTCTTCATTATTCGCACCTATACAACAAATAGCAAGGGGAGTCAGAACTCAGAAGGTCATGAAATGAGAGTCCTAGAGGGAACGGCCATGTTATCCATGGTGTTATGTCTTGGGAATAAAAGGATATAGGTGTGATTATTTACTCATAATGTTGAAGACAGGAAATAAATGAGCGCAGATGAGTGTCGTACTTTCAAACAAGATCAATGGAGGGAGCTTTTGGGAGTTCAACAGACAATTCTTAAGTAATTAACAGTATTGTGAATTCGATTATTGCCCAAAATACTCTTGCCACACGCTATGCAGACATACAGATCAGATATTATCAACTCAGTCATATGTATTTCTCTACAATACAAAGGTAACATCAGCCAAACCGAAAGATATATTAATGCTTAAATCCCTGTTACTGTCTCCGGGGCACAATGATTGGTTCATTCCCATTAAAAAAAGTAAGCACATCAGTACTACAGCTACAAGAGAATGCATTTTTTATCTTCAGGCATTTGAGTTGCAGAAAGCCATATACCTCAGCTTTTAATTCTTCCAGTATATCACTTGAAATATCTTGTTGCAAGAATTTCTTGACTGCAACTTCCTACAGAAGGAAAAAATTAATATGATGCAAAAAAGAACACTACAAAATGGTAGTGGAAGACATTAGTATGACTCAAAGAAAACAGAGTGACTGAGAAGGAGTGATAGCTAGATCAAATTTTAATTGGTCCATGATTATTATCTGAGGCAAAAGGTAGGAGTCTCTATCTTATCATTATATTGAAAACAACTGTTACAGACAATAAGTTACAAAGCGGAGAGGATTAAAAGCAGAAGTGAAACAAAAGAGCAACAGACGGAAAACTGGCCACCACCCAAGCGAAGGAAACAAAGGAAAGCACGAAAAGTCATGAATTTGTCAGTACTAGTTGAGGTCAAGCAGGACAGTCCAAGCTATCATGGACAGGCTTCACTTGTCACTGAAGTCCAGAGCTGAAAGTCATCGTACATCAACCAAGCGATATTGGCCAGAGTAATGATTTGTTGCCGAAGATCAGCATATTCCACGCCTTCCGCAGGTGCAGGGCACAGGCAGCAAACAGAAAGAAATGATGATTTACATAGCACTGCTGCCAGCGCATGCATCATGCTCCCACAGTAACACCAACGGTGGCCAAGCGCGAAGCCAAGCGGTTCAAAGACAGTTGCTGTCCGACTCTTTGGGCACTATCATAGTGAAGCATAATGTGGTAGGTAGGTCCATCATCCAACTGCAGGACAACAATCACATCTAGCATGAGGACCCAAGTCTTTGTAACCATTACCACGGTGTTGAGGCAGCCATTGAAAGCAAGCCAGAGGAACACCCTGTGTCTCAGCGGAATGGCATGTACAGAAATACAATGCTAGTTTCCAGCACAGGCTGGAAGCAATGAATGAACTGTGGAAGATAAAGTGGTTGGCACTGTTTCATGCACGAGGCATCCATGATTACATTACAAGCAAACATCATTTGATGCCTGAGGATGCAATCAGGTATCTAGGTGCAATTTGTAACAGAGTTCATAGTGTTGAAGTGAAGATCATTCGTCGTTGCTAAGTTATACACGGTCTGAAGTTAGAATTCTTGCTAATCCTTAGCAATATGTTGTGACTATGATATAAACACCGCATTTTTCTTGATTGGAGTTAAACTCATTAGACCAAAAGTGTAAGCTCATTATTCCAACCTGGTGATAATTTCGAAATTCGTTACATTGTCCCAAGCAAGTTGAATTGATTTCCAAATACATTCAGCCATTTAAATGAAAAACTTACTGTTCCATGCCATTCCCCTCTGTACACTTCTCCAAAAGATCCTGAACCACAGAAGAGGAGAAAGATGTTAGTTCAAAGAACAGCATATTACAAAACCACATCTTCTACGGAGATCTTTATGTTGTCTCGTGGAAAAGCCATGTGAGACACAAAAGGAAAGAAAGTGGGAAAATAATGAAATAGAACAATTTTTTCAAGGGCAATACAACACTATTACAGGGTATGTTTCACGTTATGTCATAGGATAACAATGTCTGGTGAATGGTAGCTTGGTAATACTACAAAGACGCACATAGTTAAAATATCAGCAGAGCTATCAAATATAATAATTTACAGAAAATCAAGATAATTTTACCTAGCCCAACACGTTCTCCTAGAACAATTTCTTCCCATTGGATCTCAAACTCTGCAACATCGTCCATAGTTACATCAGATCTTACACTCTCTGTCCCGATTGACTTGTCAGAGATCCGTTCAGCTTCCCGAGGGACTTCAACCAAAGCATTTCCTTGCTCGAGAGCATTTTCTTGTCCATGATCAACTTCCAGCTGATCTTTATCCCAGCAGTCAGGTCGAACTCTATGGACTGGTCCATTTGCCTCTGAAGAACTAGGCAAGCTAATCAATTGACAACCCGGATCCATGTATTCATATTGCTTAACAGCAGCGGATGTAGCAACAACAGCAGCAGCAGTGGCAGCAGCAGCAACAGGGACATCTAGTTTAATATCACTGTTAGATTTAGCTGCAGCAACAACCATTGAAGATGCAACCACTGCAGCAGTTGCAACTGCAGCAGCTGTAACAGGCATTTGCTTTATGAGTTGAAATGGGTATTCCCGGGCAAGTGCAGATGATTCATACAGAGGTAAAGATGGATTACTGTTATCATGGAAATTTGAGGGGTGATAAATACCCATTCCTTGGACAGGTTTAGGCCGGTAAGGAACAACCTTTGTTTGGTGTTCATATCCAGGATGAGGTGGCAACGAAGGACCATGATCACTTTCATCATGTGATGTGGATTCAAGCTCATTCATCCGCTTTATCATTTCACCTTTCGTTTGAAACAGAGATGTGTCATACACAATTAGGTCTTTTGGTTGTTCCCTAGATTCTTCTGAAAACAAATCAGGTGGTGGCACAACTCCATTTTCTAGTAATACAGCATGGATCTTCTCAGCTAACTGGGGGTTATCTTTTGCAGCACTAATCATATACTCTGAGACATCTTTCACCTTCGTCCTCCTTACAGCTGGAGCGCTACCAACCTCAGAAGACGAAGGTGAACTTGACGATGACTTATTTGCTGCAATCGGCTTTTCTTTGTTCTTCACAGCCAAGGTATGGTCTGCATTTCTAGATTCCTTGATAATAGGCAAACTTTCACTTGCATGTGAGCCAGCTGATAGTTCCCCCAATGAACTTGATTGCAAAGATCCTTGGTTACGAGTCTGGCTAGTTGTTACACAATACGGATCCACAACATTGGTAGGTGTGGATCCTTTTGACTCGTTTTCAAAAGAACCACACACAGAACTTGAAGGTTCACTAATACAAGATCGCAACTGAGTGTCGCCGTCATCTTTGTCACCTTGGTGGTTATCTGCAAAGGAACTTTCTTCAAATTCTCTACCCAAGTCTGCACCGTCTGAAGCAATAAGAGTACCAGGATCTGACATGAGATCGACAATGTATTCCCTGCAAAAATGTGAAAGTAGTACATGTAATACCATGACAATGTATTAATGTAATGCAACTCTCCATTTTTCTCACTGCAAAAGTGGCGTAACATAAAAATCTGTCAAGGAATCAATAAGTACCTTCCATCATTCAATTTCACAATGTTCAAGGCTCCATCATCTGATCCAGTGTACTGCCTTCCTTTGACTAGTCGACAAGGAACATCAAGGTTGTCGGCCAACACCTAGGTTCATGTTTGCACAGAAGTGGGTATTAACATACTGTCATCGACAACTAATTGGCTAGAGGACAAGTCTTGTGTGTATGCATTGCACCTATCAGAAATTCAGCTCAAGGACTAGGAAGTGCAACAAGAATATAGTCAGGTTATGTGCTACTGCTGGGATAAGGAGAGGAAGAATATGCTCACGTGAATTTATCTACTGAACTTAAATTTGAGAAAAGAGAATAGATCAGGTATTGCATTTGAGAAATAGATGGACCTTGACACTTTCATGTATTCTATATCCCGGCAGATAAACTTTGTAATCAGAAAAAGGAGTTGGCCACAATGAAATAAGTTACTGACCTTAAAAAGCAGCGCACGGTGACGAGCCAGGCCAATTGTGATGCGGCCAAGAGGCATGACGGAGCTTCTAATACTAGCTCTCAGAGAACTACTCATATTCTGGTACTTCAAGAGCACGTTTTCTGGATCAACAACTGGCCCACCCATGTGGTTTGCCACTAAAATAGCTAGCCTCTGAATTAAAACACGGCCAACAGAATGTGAAGTTTGAGAGCGGAAGTCAACGGCCATGTTGAGTGCCTTCTGCCCAAGGTCTACAAGTTCAGAGTCTTGTGCTCTGTTGACCAACACAGCTTCTGTTTTAGCTCCAAGAGAAAAAGGTTGCTGATGCAGCTCCATCAGAGAGGGTATGGTTCGCAGTGCGGGCTTGCCCCCAGTGGCCCAAATGTCATAGAAACCATCCAATATTTTGTCGTCATAGCTAAGGGCACTGAAACTCTGTGAAGCACGAACAAATCTACCATATAAGGCAAGCAAGAAAATTGTAAGAATCGCAAAAATGTAGGGCAATATTCACTTAACAGTCTCTACTCTGTACTCTCTAATTATGCAAAGGATCCGTGGTGGATATTCCAGGACTATTGGTTGAGTGTTCACTGAACAAATTACTGTTAGCCCATATCTTCGAAGGTAGCAGGTTGGCTCGTTATTTCATTTGGATTTGATAATGCAATCGACTTAGAACTTATATTAGTGGACTGAGCGTAGCCATCAGAATAGCATCAACATGTTTTCCCCCCTTTTTTTTACAGTTGGATGAGAACTCTATGGCTCACGGTTTAGGCTGGGAATTAAGAAATCCTCAGTCGATTGGGCCCTGGTCGCCCTCGAACCCAGGTGCTATTGCTCACAAGTCACAAGCATCATTGTGGAGCAACCAGTGAAGCGAAGGAGCATATATCATATATATCTAGCTAAGTTGCCTAACTACAGTAGCAACAAAAAATTTGGTGCATCCCTTCGGTGACGATTGAATTGAACAGTCATCGGAAAAACAACACCATGATCGGCACGTATTTTCAGCAAACAAATGAAATGTGTGATACAATCTGGTCTCAACTAACCTACTGGGTGTATTTGAGCAATCCAGCGGACAAGTTGCATCATTAGAGCATGAGTAAGATCCCACCGCAGTTACAATGCGAATGTGTAGGATCGGCGGACGGAGGAGGAAGGGATTAGTTACCCAGTAGCGGAAGGCGACGACCTCCGCGGCGGAGCTCTGGAGCGGGCAGGAACCGAGGCTGATCTGCTTGGCCACCTCGATCTGCATCGCCTCGGGGTCCTCCCGCGCGCTCATCTCCAGCGCCAGCTGCATGTGGTACTCCTCCAGCTCGTCCTCCCGTTTCTCCTGCTTCTCAATCTCCCTCTTCCTGTCCTCCTTCCGCTCGTCCCTCCTCGCCGTCTCCTCCTCCTCCGCCTGCCTCTCCCCAATCGACGACGCCAGCGCCAGCTCCTCCGGCTCCGTCTCCACCGCCGCCGCAGCCGCAGCCGCCAGCAAGGGCGGCTGCGGCGGGTGCGGGCGCCCGGCCACGGAGCTGAGCCAGCTCGAGATTCCAGAGGACGCGTGGTGGCCCCCGGCCCCGCCGCCGCCGCCGCCGCCCTTTTTGGAGGACGGGAGGGGAGGCGCGGGCGACGAGGCGCCGTCGCCGGCGGAGTCGCCGATGTGGAGCTTCCGGAGGAAGTTCTTCATCGCGCACGCCCGCCGCCGACGCCGCCGCCGCCGGCGCTATCTGCTGCGGTGGTGGTGGTGCTGCGGCGGTGGCGGATCCGACATCGCTCCGGATGCAGGCAGGCAGGCAGGCTGAGGAGACGAAGCGGCTATAGGCTATAGCCTCCCTGTAGCCAAGAGGAGGCGGTATTGACCTGCTGCTGCTGCTGCTGCTTACGAGCGGCCCAAAGCCGCATTAACTTAACCCCCGCTTACTATTTGCTCCGCTGCCACCGGCCGGCGGCTGCCCGCTCGCTTGCGGCCGCGCCACACTCTCTCTGTGTACCCGACGGGGTGCTCTTAGCTTGATTCCATTTTAAATAGTACTAGTATGAAAAATCACTGGTAAATCGGCGCTTGAGCGCGATTGGTGCGCACTGTGCGCAATCAATAAAGAAAGTTTTGTTTGGGGTAACAGGGAAAGTTCTCGCTCGCTGCGGGCGAGCGGGGCACGGCTGGTTGGGACGGGGCTATGTACATCTCGTGCCGATGACGGGTGGGTCCGGGCGAGGTGAGCGCCCGCGCGGCAGGGAGAGGGACGCGCGGTCCGCGGACGTGACGTCGCCGTGACTGCTCGCGATGCGGCCGAGGAAAGCGACGGGAAAAACTTGCGGGAGGGGCCATGCAGGAAGGGGAGCCGGGAAAGCGAAGGCAGCCAGCCCCAGCGCGCGTGGACCCGGTCCACCGTGGGCGAGGCGGGGCTCCCTCTGCCTCATGGGGCCCGGCGCACTGGTGACGGCAGGCGGGACAGTGGGCCGTACCATATCCTGGCGTCCCACTTGCCGCCGGACGTGCCGCGGCGCTGCGAGCAGGGAGGGAGGCAACTTGGCCGGCTGCGCCTCGAAAGCCCCGCGCCAGGCCGTGCGGGGCCTTGGATCCCGAGTGCGCCCGCCCGGGCCCGCCTGGCATTGGGCGGACCGAGGACCCGCGCGAGCCACGCGGTTAGACAGTGGGTGGGGTCGGGTGGCTGAATGGCTCAACTTGGACGCGCGTGGGGGTGCCTGCTGGCCTGCAACTGGGTAGGGGGGTGATGGGCGTGGTGGATCGGCTGGCCCCGCGGAGCAGCCACTAGGCGGTGGGCCCCTACTGCTTCCTTGTGGAATTCGGGGCTGTGGCCTCTGGTTGGGTGGCGTGTGTTTCCTAGTGGCGGAATCTTCTAGGTTCGCGTTGCGATTTGGGTTTCCCGGGGACGGGAACGGGTCTGCGCACGTGGCCCTTGTTGCCAAGTTGGCATTGAAGATTCTGGCTAGGTTCGAGAGTGATTTCGGGCGAGTGCTGGACTCTGAGTCCGACGGCCGATCCTCGGTTAACTGTGAGAGCATCTACACCTACAACGCGAGCTCCCAAACCTGCCTCATACATCCGGGCGAGCTATCCGGTCACTGATCGATCACGATTTTTTTAATTTAGACGAACGTCTCAAACGGGCCTCAAACGTTTGGGCTGACCAACAACTCCATATCCAGTCCAAATAGACGGCGGATATGGGACACCCGGGCACCGCCACGTTGGACCCGATTCATGCTGGCCCACCCACCTCGCTTATATTCATTCTCATCCTTTCGTCGGAGCAAACTCTACCCTTTCACTCCACTCCCCTCCGCCACATGAGCTCACCTCTGACGGTTTGCAGCCTTCTCTGCCATGGCAGGCAGTGGATTGGACTCCGACCAGTCCGGATCCGTCGACTGAGGTCTCGTCTCGTGTGGGTTGGAGGAGGCAATGGCAGTCCGCATTGCACTCCGCCGCTCCCTAGTGGACAGCGCCCGGCCGACGGACGGATCCGTCCGCTGCGACGCTATAGCGTCGGCTCATCGGGCGCTCGGGTCCTCTGGTGCTGGATCATCGCGGTCCCGGCCGGAACACCTCTCCTTCTCAATCACTGGTCGGGCAGATGAGTCCCGCCGGGATCGGGCGGCCCGCCGTGGGAAGGAGAGGATAAGGGCCGCCGAGGCCCGTATCGTGGCGGAAATGGCGGCGACGGAGGCGGCTGATGCGGCGGCGCGGGCGACCGCAGTGGAGGAAGCCATCCGCGCTCGCATTGTGAAGAAACTGTATTTTGATAGTCGGATGGCATGTTTAGTGTAGTGTAATGGAGTAGCCGGACGATATGTGTGCGTCGACGTAGTGGCATGAGTTTGTATGAATTTGAGATATGATAATTGAGGTGTCCGAATGTGGATTGTATTTTGTAAGGAGTGCCCTTGGATGCGCGTTTGAGGGGCCTTTGTCAAATTCTGCTGAAGATGCCCTGAGAGGCAGCATTCTTTTCTTTTCTTTCTTTCTCCGGGAAGAGGCAGCATTCTTCTACGAAAAAGCTAGTATATGGCAAACATCAGATTTTTTGGCTCCTCTCAGCAGCATTGGCTGCTGTTGGATGCGCCCACAGATTTTGATGCGTGGTTGCTTGCACATCAGTTTTTGAAAGTCCTTCGCTACAACGCAAAAACTGCGCGAACGCATTCTAAACACAATCCACCCACCACACTGGGTCGTGCCTTAAGCTCCACTCGTGAGATCTGGGATGGTTTCACCTTTTCTTTACTTTTTTTTAGGGGCACCTTTTCTTGACTAGATGGCAAAATATAATTTATTTAGTTTTCAGGTACATGGCAACTTTTTTGGCAGTTTTTTTTTAACTTGACATATGGCAGATTTAAACATTTTTGCCATCTACATTTTAATTCATAACATTTTTGTCTTTCAAACATGGCAGGTCTATTTATAATGCTCCAATGGCAAAGCTTTGGGAATTTTTACCATTTTTTATGGCAACTCTATTATTAAGAGCATGAAATTTTTATTTTTAATAACATGGCAATTCTATTTTTAAGAGCATGAAAATTTTATTTATCATGGCAAATTCATGTGTATAATTTTTATGTTTTTTTAAATGAAAATATAAATCATGGCAAACTATGTGTTTTTGCACTAAATTGCCATGAAGTTTATTTTTTAATATCATGGCAAACATGAACTTGTTGAAGTACAACTTTTGTACAACTTGATTTTATAGAGGAGGATGGGAATTTAAATGGCCATTTCTTAATTTATGTTTTCTTTGCCGTTTTTGTACAAGGAAATGTTTGTTTTCCTGTTGATGGCAAATTTTCAAAGAAAAAAATCAGCTCAGTGGCCAGCTAGGGGGGAGCTGGACCCCTACTGGAACGAACGCTCGAGGGGAGCGTTTCATTTAGGGTGACACTGGATGAAACTGTTCGGTGGCTCCGAGAGTTGTTCTGACCTGAGCACTTTACACACTTTGGTGTCCCCGACTTAAACTATTCAGAAATTCTAAATGATTTTCAGTAGGCAACACAAGGTTGGCAAGTGCCATTCGATGAGACCAAAGGATCAACTTGGTGAGACAGAAAATTTAGGGTTTAGGACAACGATGTATCAATGTGACTCGGTGACTCTGATGGGATTGATTTAGCGAGTCTGAGTTGAATGTTTGGTTTGTGATATAGTGGGACTTTGGGAAATTGTTTGAGGCTTTTGGATTTCAATCTTCATATCGGCCTCATCCTTTTTTGATAGTATTGGCATACCTATGGAATCAATGTAATATTTGATCACTTAAACATAAAATGAAGTCTTGAGGCTTGATCCAGCATTTGTCCTTAGCATATTGAGGGGTCCATTTTCACTTCCCTTGTTGTACGTACTTTGAACTTTCCTGAGATATACTCAAGAACAATAATAGTCCAAGGATATGTACGTTGACATGAATTGCCAAAACCACCAAGGGATTGTGTGTGTTTTCATGAATGAACCATTGGCTAGGGGAACCTCCCCAACTGGCGATCGCCAGATATTAGGGTCCTTCTTTTATTGGGCGTACAGAGAGGTTGAAGCTTGATGTTTTACTAATTCATTATAGGAAGATTAACTCCGATCATTAAACTTCTCTTCCCAAAATAATGGGTGTACATATGTACACCGATGTCCTTCTCTAACCCCGCCCTGCCTAGGGTGCAGCTCCTTCGATGTTGATATGTTCAAATAAAATATTTTTCCTATGTAGAACATGCATGAAATTTGGAAGACTAACATGCAACAATGCAAACAAACATGTGCAATAGGCACATAACATATGTGTTGGGGATATAACTATTGAGTATAAACCGCCCAGGAGGGGCTGGGTATGCTCGTGAGGATTACCAATGTTGAAGCCCATGAAGACATAGAAGGATGGCGACTTACGAGGGAGACTTAGTAAGAAGGCCTAAAGCCCAAAGGGCGGATTAGGGCCCATAAATGTAAACCGCCATACGAGTATAACTTGTGTTGCAAGATAGGAAAGAGTAGATACCGAGCCGGACTTGTCTATGAGCCGGCCAGGAATCTATGAACCGTCGGGTGTCAACCTGTGTATATAAAGGGACGACCCGACGGCGGTTCGAGGACAAGAAACAACAAATCGAGAGCCGGGTCAAGCGTATTCACCCCCTGCTCATCGAAACCCTAGCAATACACCTACAACTAGATTAGGCTTTTACCTTTGCTGTAAGGGGCCGAACCAGTATAAACTCCTCGTGTCCTTTGTCCTGATTAACCCCTTTAAGCTAACCTAGTCGCGATGGCTCCACGACTAAGTCCTCACACTAGGACATCTGCCATGACAATTCCACGACAGTTGGCGCCCACTATGGGGCTATCGCACGATGGTTTCAAGTTCTTAGAGGGCAACTTCAAAGGGATCAAGGGATACGTCGTGGGCCGGATGACCAAGAGTCGTCGCGGCAAACTCTACATCGACGACGCAGGCTGGGGCTCCGAGGCCGGCTCAATTGAGTACGGGTACAGGGTCCCCTTCGGCAGAATTCACATCTTCATCGGCAAGCGAACCGGGCCCTAAGCCAGACATCTGCACCGACATCATCGAGATGGCTCAGCATGCGAGACCCGCCCGGGTTCGGCCCGCCATGAAACGTGCCTTCGTGGGATTTATCCGTGGAGCGGAATCTGAGGATAAACCG